AGAGAGAAGCAGCTGGTGAGCACTGGTGCTGGGAGAGGAGAGAAGGCCTCAGCTCAGGGAGCTGAGGAAAAGGGGGCCAGGTGGATGCCGTAGAGAGTGAGTTAGGTGAGGTCATGCTAGAAACCAGCGTGGGAACAGGTCGGTAGGACCCAGTGGCATTCTCTGAGATTTAGTGGCAAGGGACTAGCAGGTGATAGATTGGGTGGCAGAATGTTGGTGATGAGACCAGTTCTCAGTGGATGTTAGAGCAGTGCCTTAGAGGTAAGCCAGGCCTTAGTTCTAGGGGAGCATGGCATCTCTGTGCCAGATGTTGCTTGTCTAGGTGTAAAGGCTACTGTTCCCAAGGCCTAGGCCTGAGCAGGATTGGGATTTTTTGTGCTACTAGGAAAACCTTGGACTGGGGGTGCCATTTGGGACCCTGTGAACCCTGTGCAGGTGGGGTGACTGCTGATCTTGACCCCTGCAGGTGGACTGGACAGCGAGCTGGGAAAGAGTCTGTCTGTGGGACAGAGGCAGTTGGTGTGTCTGGCAAGGGCCCTCCTGACACAGGCCAAGGTGAGTGTCTTGCCTCCATTGGAGTGAGGGGGAGGGTGCTGCTGATGGCTGTCTGGGGACAGCAGAGGAGAGCACTGCAGAGTTGGAGGTGTGATGGGAACAGACATCCTGTGCTAACTTCGCAGGCTGTCTCTAGGCAGGGATTGGGCTCTCTGCTGTGGTGCTTGGGACTTCCCTTCACTCTCTGTCCCTGGCAGGTGCTGTGCATCGATGAGGCCACAGCCAGTGTGGATCAGAGGACAGACCAGCTGCTGCAGCAGACCATCCGCCAGCGCTTCGCTGACAAAACTGTTTTGACGATTGCTCACAGGTATGGAGGAAGCAGCACTCTGCGCCTAAATTTGTCCTGCCACTCACAGGTAGAGGTGGCTGCACATGCCATGCCTGGGGCTCAAGCTGAGCAGAGAGGTCTCTGTGATAAGGTTTTTCAAGTGCAAAAGCTAGACTTTGCCTGTTGCCTTTTCTGCCAGATGCTGGGAATAACTGGACGTGAAAATGTTGTACCCAGAAATTGATGTCAGCAAAGGGCAAAATGCTGCATCATATCACAGACTGCTCTTCCTGGGCACTGCCTCCTGGGATCCGTGGAGTGGATGAATCAGGCCTTGTGGTTCTGCCAAATTAGGGTGAAGAGTAATGGAGAAGTAATCTTACAGAAAGGAGCAGTGTGGAGACTGGCAGGGGTGGAGCAGGAAGCTGGTGACTCCAGCTCAGTAGAGGGCACTACAGGACAGCCAGCGGCAAAGGGCTGCAGCCAGCTCCTGGGTAGTTCTGTTTTCCAAAATCCTGAGTTTTGGTCCCAGCCTGCACCCGATTCCAGTAACAGACATTGCCCAGGCAGGACAGGACAACAGTGATTGCCCCACATCTGAGAGATTTAGTGTAAGAGTGGTCAGTGGATGGTTGCAGCTGGAGGGAGGAGGGCAAAACATGAATACCGCAGAGAAGGGGTGGATCAGCATTAGACGGTGTTTTCTGCTCCTACTCTTGCCAAGTGGAGGAGAATTTGGAGGAGGATTATGAAATTGTGTGGAGGGTTTTTTCAAAGCACAGAGGTTACCACAAAAATAAAAATCAAATGAGCAGGTGGCAGGGGCTGGTGTCCTGCTGCACAGAAGTGGGAGTGATGGATGACAGGCAGGGTGGGCTGGGCCTGGCAAGTGAATCGAGTGGGTCTTGTTAAATACATCATGTAGGAGGGAGGCAGGAGGAGTGTGAAGGGAATGTGGTTCCTACACTAGGGATATTATACATAAATAGAATAGAAACACAAGGGCACTGTGGGCTGAGGTGTGTGTTTGGGTTGGGTGTGGGGAGGCCACTTCTAATGGAGGAGTAATTAGAGAGGAGAACCAGCAGAGGAAGGAGTGGCAGAAGGCAAGGCAGCAAACCTGAGCTGAAGATAGCTCCAGCCCCTCTTCCACTGGATGAAGAGCAATAGGGGAGAGCAGTAAGGAGAGAGAGGTGATGATGGGGTTGTTCTGTACCCATTGTTCTTCCTTGCCATTCAGCTTTGGGTGAACCATTAATTGGATTGGGGAAATCCAGGATGGGAAATGACTCTGTACTTGTCACTTGCCCCTCCAAGTCACTTCCAGTGCTGCAGCCTGCACTCTCTTGGGATGAATGTGTAACCAGAGTCCTGAACTCCATAATGCTTTCTGCCTGCTCAAATCCTGTGTAGTGTCTTCCTTGTGACATGCAGCTTTATAGGGCTGTAGTTCCACACTGAACAGGGCACGACTGTGCAGAGGGATTCTTGCTGCCCTGTCTTCCCCACACAGGGCCAGAGGTTGCTGCCCTGCTAGCAGTCTGGGCAGAACTGGGCACATATGTGTGCAGTGGGTCCTGTGGTTGGCAGTCTGGCAACCACAATCCACTGATGGTGGTGGCATAAGCAAAGATGCCAGTCTGCTAGGGAATGACAGCTGATGCACAAGTGCATTTCCACTGCCCTCAGGAGGTGGCAGGTGAGGAAATGTAGGGGCAAATGGAAGCAACTCACTAACCCCTGTGGGACTGGAGACATTTTGTGCAACCCCAGAATCAGGCATGCAGAACTTCCCTCTGCATTCCTGGTGCCCTGCCGTGCCCAACAGCTGGAAGGTATCACCATGGTCTGCTGAGAGGTAATGCATTTCAGCAGTGTGCAGGGGCTCTCTGGGGAGCTGAACTGCACTGTGACCTTGAGTGCAGAGGGAGATCCTCCACAGATCCTACTGTTGGGCATGACTTGGGCCACCCTTAACAGCAGGGGAAGCAGTATCCAGAGTTTCTCCTCAGATCCACCAACATATGTCCTGGCATTTGTTGTCCACAGGCTGAACACCATCTTGGACTCAGACCGTGTGCTGGTGATGCAAGCTGGGAGAGTGGCAGAGTTGGATTCACCCACCCGCTTAAGCCAGAAAGATGGCTCCTTGTTCCAGCACCTCCTGCACAGCAGGCAGCAATGACCTCCCTCCTGAGCTGCGCCCAGGCAGCCCTTCCAGCTCAGTGCCTGGCTTTCCTTTCAGCTCAGCCACCAGCCCTGTCCCTGCAGGGACAGGAGCTGCTGAGGTGAGAGAAGGGCTTATTTCTGCCTGCAGATAGCGATTATTTATCCTCAGGGACAGGAGCATGGCACTGTGGCCTTTCTTTTAATAGGGAACATGCGACCTAGTGTTGAGTCATGCAAGCCTGGATGGTGGGATACCGCTCCCCTCTAAGGCTCCCCTTTGAGATTACAGAGGGATTTTCTACTGATTGAAGAATCAGTAACTAACTCCTAGTTTGAGACTTAGTCTCACATATGCAATGTAAAATAAAGTGGAAACCTCCTTGTGAAGTTCAGTTATTCAGGTCCTTGTCCCTTTTCCTCCCCAGACACATACCTCCTCATGAGATACAGGAGTGGTGCCCACTCTGCACGAAGACAACCCTACCTGCTCCCTTCTACTTTCTGAAGGCACTGACCTTTCCAAGCCCAGAAGGTTGCACCCAGAGACCTTGCTGCTTTCGTCCAGTTTACAGTGGAGAAGGCCAGAATGCAATTACATTAAAGGCCTTTAAGGCTAGTTTATTTCAAGACCACTTCTTTCAGGGAAACTCTCTGTCCTTCCTGCCCTGCTCTCAGCTGCACAAACCCACAGCTGTTTTCAGTTTTAGGATCTTGCTCTTTCCATTAGCACCCTTGGACTCAGTCTTAGGTTTTCCCCTTCTTCCCAACACTCTCATGGCAATGTCTAGGCTGTACACACCTTTGCTATGCTGTCCTGAGTTAGGTGCCATTCCTTTCCCTGAGGCTGCAGGAGCCATCTCCACCCCTGCAGCCACAATCTGGGTTTGCATTCTTGAGGGAAGTGATGGAGATACTCATCAAGAACAAGTAGCTCAACAACCTGATCCACTTGGATCTCTGAGAGCAGGAGGTTGGTGTCCAGAGGCCTTTTGCAACTGAAATTATTTTATGATTCTCTGATACACTGTTTCTGGGCTTGTTTTATTTGATAAAGGTACATCATCCATCCATGTATTAAAAAAATAATCTTTCTGCTGAAGCTCCAGTCCCCTCTCCCAAGTCTCCCTCCTGCCTGAGTGCTCACTTCTCAGCTCTCTTTACACCATGTTGAACCCAGCTCTGCAACCCTACAAGCCAGTAGTAGGGTTTGGGTTGTCCCCTCTCCCAAGTCTCCCTCCTGCCTGAGTGCTCACTTCTCAGCTCTCTTTACACCATGTTGAACCCAGCTCTGCAACCCTACAAGCCAGTAGTAGGGTTTGGGTTGTGGGGGTTTTTACCCCACTGCTTAGCCCTCTGTGCCCATGAGGTGACACAGAAGCCCCTGGCCCTGGCAGAGACACTGATTGCTGAACACCAGACCAGCACAGGCAGGAACAGACCTAGTACAAAGGCTAAGTGACATGACCAATCTACTGCCTCTTAGCCGTGCTTTAGCAATGGTAGAGAAGGCAGTATCGTGGCTGCTTCCTATGGTCACCCCAGGCTTGGTAGCCTGTCCTCACATCCACTGTGAGGAGCTTAGCCTTTATTGTATCAAGAAACGCTACAATGGCTGATTTAAGGTTGGTGCCAGCTGCCTGCCTCAGAGTGAATGGGAGAAGAAAGGAGGACCTGGATCTTGTATTGCTCCTGAACCAGCTACAGCACAGCTCCAGCCTTGTCCATCTCCAGTTTCACCTATGAGGACATATGAGAAGGACCAGCTCAGGCCCAGAGGACCCCAAAGGGGAGCAAATAGTGAGGCAGAAGTGCACACTACAGAGGTGAAGGAGCTTGGTCGTCTGTGGCCAGACCAGAAAGGACGGCTTGGTAAGTCAGTCAAAAAGACCCCTGGATCGTCAGGAGGAAAGTACAAAACATGTTTGTAACCCCAAGTCTGACAGCAAGAGGAGGGGGCATCACCCAGGGCAGAAGAAGGGCATGAGGAGACCTTAGATGGTCTTCAGAGTCTGTTTGAACTGGCTCAGAACCACAAGACCAGGGAGCAAGGGAATCTGTTTGCTCCCTAGGGACATGGCATCTGAAATGACAGCCTCAAGAAACAGCCAGGAACTACCCCATCCAGTACTGGGGCAGGGAGGCAACCATCCCAAAGGCCCCAGAAGAAATATCCCAACACCATCAGAAATGAGGACAAACCCCTCCTAGTAGTCACAGAGAGGAGTTACAAGGGGCCTGGCAGTATTTCAGCTTGCAAGAGGGCTGTGCCTTCCTCAGCACTACCTGTCCTGTTTCTGAGGGCTCCTGTCAGATGATACTGGCGCTGCATGACATGGGCTGCCTTGAGCAGCACACCACTGCTCCCTTGCAGGGCTGGCCCAACACAGCCCATTCAGGTGCCCGTGGGTGCCAGCTGAGCCAGCCTGGCAGGAGACAGCTGAGACCCGAGCAGGGCCATCACACCAGTGCTCAACACCCAGGGTTTTGTTGATGTGTTTGCTGCCCTGGAAGCCTTTCCCCGCTGCCCGGTTGGTGACAGTGTGGCTCCCCAGGATGCAGTTTGAGGGGTTTGCCAGCATGATGACCTGCCAGGGCCTGGCTCAGAGTCCTCGCAGCTCACAGCTCTGTCGTCTTCCTTGGCTCGATCAAGATGGTGTTGAGCATGCCCACCTGACACTCCTGGTCTTGGAGCTTCCTTGCAGCCTGAGAAGGGCTTTGGCACCAGTTCGACCTCTGACGGCCCCTCTGCCAGTTCCTCAGCATTAGCAGGACAGTGATGAGGACCAGCACTGCTGTCAGCACCCCAAACACCAGCACTGTCACCAGCTGGGCTTCGCTCAGCCCAGAGTCTCTTTGGGTCACCACCTCCTTCACAGAGATTTTCAACAACCCTCCCCCCAGCTCTTTCTCACTGTGGTTGGCCACGCGCCGCCCCGTGACCGCGGTCCTGACAGGCTCTGGCTGCGTCACGCCCGGCATCTCACTGGTGGTGCTTTCCACAGCCCCGCCATTCTCGTGGTTTGCAGGGTGGTAGGGTGGAGACCAGGTGGGCTCTGGGACGGAGATCTCACAGGTTTTGCCAGTGAAACGGTCAGGACACAAGCAGTCATAGTCATTGATGCGGTCATAGCACTTTGCTCCATTTTTGCACGGCTGGCTGGCACAGTCATTGATGTTGATTGTGCAGAAACGCCCTTCAAAGCCCACCTGGCATTGGCAGGAGAAGCGGTTGATGCCGTCGTGGCAGGTGGCACCGTTGGCACAGGGGCGCATCAGGCAGTCGTCCACGTCATGCTCACAGAGAGCCCCCACAAAGCCAGCGAGACACCGGCAGGTGAAGTTGCTGGCGAAGCCATTTTCGTCTTGACATTGCCCACCATTCTTGCACGGAGACCTGTGTGGAGAGAGCAAGGATGGGGTCATGGCCCTGGAGAGCAAGCAACTTCCCTCACCCCAGGAAGGTAAACACACAGAGCCGCTTGCATGGCCAGTGTGTCCAGCACCAGCTCTCTCCATGGGGGCAGCTATGTCAAGGAGAAGACTGGGTGGGAAATTCTGTCTCCTTGAGTGAGAGGCTGTGGAACCTCCTCAAAGGCTGTGACCTTGCATGGGTCCACCACCCACTGGGGAAGGTCTTCAGCCAAATGATCTGATGAGGAAACATGCCCTCCTGATGCTCCCCAAAGGCATGACAGGTGTCAGCTCATCACACCTACAGTAGTGAGAGCAGGAATCTCCTCAGATTGCAAAAAAGACCTTGCCCCAGCAGGACAATGCAGTGCACACTGCTAAACCAAAGCCAAAGATGATTTTGGCTTAACTCCACTAGTGCATGGAAATCCACAGATAATCAGCCAAGCTGGGCCTCCACTTGGCAGCGTGTGACCCAAAGTCAATGCGGGCTGTAGTTAACACTGCAGTGTCTCACCCTGCCTTCTCACAAGGCCCTGTCTTCATCTCACAATCCTTTCCATGGAAACCTTCTGGACACAAGCAGGAATATTCCCCATCTCGATCATAGATGCACTGAGCCCCGTTCTGGCATGGGGACTGGTGTTCGCAGATGTGTATGTCTGAGGAGAAAGAAAAAGGTGGGAATTAGGCAGAAAAGAAGGTTGATGTGGCCAATTTAGCACAAACACAACCCATCAAACCCAGTGGGGATGGAGAAATGACAGGAGCTTCTCCCTCCTCCCCGCCAATGGGCACCTGCAGCAACAGAAGTGCAGTGCCTATGTGGTTGTGGAAGATGCTTTGCATGCCATCTCTCTGGCCAGTGGAGACCCCATGCTACAAAGGAGTCTGAGGCCAGAGAAGGGGAGTCCATCAGCTACCTGCTGAAGGCAGGAAGCCCTGTGGGAGGCAGGGGATGCTGCTCCGAGTCCTGACACACCATGAGAAACGGAATGAGTTTACCTGCTCCATCTCCTGAGGCTGGCCAGTGTCATGCTAGCTCTTGCCATGCAGCCAGGGAGCAGGTGCCTGCAGCCCTTCCTCTTTTGAAAGGGAATGGTTCCACCTATGGCAGCCAGGCAACATCCTATCTCCCAGGCAGCCCAAGAGGCATCACCCAGGTGGCATCTGACTATGTTAGCTGTGCTGGCTCACATATCCATGGAGGGTGTGCTGGGCTTCTGCCCTCAGCACCGGAGGCTGGGATGTCCAGCCCATGACTCACCTTTGTCACAGAACTTGCCGGCCCAGCCAGTGTGACAGATGCACTGCCAAGGCTGGTGGCACGTCCCGTGGAGACACCCCGGCATACGCACGCACTCCTCACAGTACTCGCCCTCCCAGCCTGGATCACACCTGTGAGAGGACAGCGCATAGCAGCACAATAAGACCCAATCAAGGGCTGTGGAAAAGCTGGCTGTGTGTCATGAAGGGTTACTGCAGATACAGCAGCACTCAGAAACTCTCCCAAAGCCCCCCATGGACCTGTTGGCTCTCTCCTCTGGGGGAGGTCAGCACTGGCACCTCATCTGTCCAAGGATGCAAATAGATAGAGCAGGGGCAGACTCACCCTCTGCAGCCAGGGAGGGTGGGGGACCAGAAACAGAGCTCAGCAGCTTCACTTTTAGTGCCCACATCCCTCTGCTTTCCTTCAGCCAGCCACTCTGTATACACCACTGCATCAGCTTGGCAATTCCTGCACCTCCCTCATTGCACAGCCAGTCTGACAGGCAGAGAAAAGCCCATCCCTAACCCTGAACTCCCTGAGGGAAAGCAACAAGAGGCCCCTGAGGTCCACGTGTTTCACTGCACCCCTTTGAATGTGTGTCATTTTTTGTCTGAAGTGCACGGTAATCCAGCTCTGAAACCTTGCTTGCCATGGCTGGTGAACAGAATAGACTTATTAGCCACTCACAAGGGCAGTACAGTGGTAAAACCTGCAGCACACAATGAGCCTTCTGGTCCCAGAAGAGTAAGGCAGTGGCAGTGGCTAAGTAAAGCCAAGCTTTACTTAGCTCGAGTGGCAGGCATCCCTCAGACCTGCCAGCTCTAAGGGGGAAAGCAAGTGATAACAAGATTAAAGCTGAGTGGAGGTGGCACCAAGCCACAACAAAAGCTATACTCAAACCAGCATGAAATTAAACCTAACAAAAACAACACAGTTTCTAGAGTAAGGAAGGGGATTCATTTTCATGGCTGTGGCTCATTTCAGTGCAATGTGTGATGACTGCAGCTTTGTTGGGCTGGCCCAAGGCTGCACTTTCACACCTGGGCTGCCTATTGTCATTGCATGTTGTCCCAAATAGATGGGGAATGAGGAAAATGGTTAAAAAATAAATATATATGTTAATTAGAGGTTTTTTTTGATGGGAATGGAGGTGATACCATGTGACTGATAGAGTCTGGGGAAATGCATTCATACCTGGACAGCCCTGAGCTTACAGAAGGCTGTGGACACCCCTATCCCCCAGTACCTGCAAGGGAGCAGGTATCATCAACTCTTCCCCTTCTCTGAAAGGCAGATGGCCAACTTAAAAATTACCAGGGAGGGGGCAAGGTAAACAGTCAAGTCTCCCTGAGCCTTGATCCTGTGGAATCTGGGCACCAGCTCAAGCTGACATGCCAGGGATCACAAATGCACTTCTGCTGCAGTAGCCCCCAGCTTGCTAGTAAGCCTGTCATGAAAACATCCAGCCTGCTGAGGGGGGACCTCTGATGCCCTCAGTTACATGCATGCTGGCAGCTCTTCTCTTCCATGCCCCCAGGGAGAGCATCTCTACCTCAGCCAATGAGGAGGCCATGCAAGCTGGCCAACTCCCATGCCTGCTCAGCTGCCTGATGGCTTTCCCCATTACATCCGAGCCTGAAGGCTGCCTCCAATCCCCCAGGCACAGCTGGGCTGTCCTAGGCTCCCACCTAGACAAAAAGGGTTCAGCAGAACAACACTGGTCAGCATGTGGAGGTGGTGACTCTGGGAGCACTGGAGCAAAGGCTGGAGGGCACCAGGAAGTGGCTGAGGGATCAAAATCTCCCACTCCAGAGGGTGTCAGATAAGAAGAGTGCAGAGTCATTGATTCCAGGTGTGGGTGAGTGGAGGAGGAGGCACTTCAGCTCAGGGCAGGCACAAGAGATACAGCAACAGGGGAGGGAGAGCAGTTACAGTCAGAAGCAGCAGAGAGCCAAAGACAAGCCATACCTGCACTTCCCATCCTGGTCACAGCAACCATGGGCGAGATTACAGCGCTCACTGCAGTCATCACCTACAAAGCAGGTAACGTGGAGCTGGGTTAAGCAGAGACTATAGATAACTCCAGATCTGCCCGTGGCCCTTCTGGCCCACAGCTTTTTTTCCTTCCTAAGCGCTCAGCCTACCCTTCCCCAGAGCCGTGAGGTGGAAGACCTTCCTTCCAATGACTGGATGCCACACAGGAGATGAGGATTTCACATTAACCCAAGCAGTGATAATACTACCTTTACTGCTTTCAAAACTACTCATTCTCTGGTCATCTTCCCCACCCTCCCTCTGCTCCTTCCCTTAGATTTTGAGCCCTTCTGGGCAAGAGCTGGGCTTGCCAGTGCATTAAGGCAACCTGTGTAATAGGGACTCACCCACCTGGGACCTTGGTCCCAGTATCTTGAAGAAGTATGGTGGGAAAGCTCAGGGCCAGGTAGTGGAAGGGGCACAAAGGGACTGAAGATGGAAATGGAAAGCATGGTTCCTCTTTATCTTGCAGGATGTTGCCATCCACAGGGGCAGCTACTGACACAAAACAGTCTGTCTGGGGCTCCTGCCCTCCCCCAGGACCAGCTGCCAGCACTCCCCTTCCAGCATGGGGAGGCAGGACTGGGCATCACATGGGGCCAGGTATCCAGTTCTGTTTATTTATTTAAAGGCCTCAGAGGCTGTAACTGAGCCATGGCCTCGCTGTGCCACTTCTTGTCCTCTGCTTGGTGCTGGCCTGCTTTCTCTAGCCAGGTGTCCCCTTTCATCTCCACCTTCCCCTCTCCCCCATCACTTGCTTGCATTTTGGCTCCACCTGGGAGCTGGTTCACTTTAGCTCCATGAGCAGTAGAACTAGAGCAAATATCAGAAAGCAGGAAGTTTCTCCAGAAGCCCAGTGCAATCCCAGGCCAGGCCCAAGAGATGAACACTCTTACCTGACTGAGCTCCTCCATCCTGGACTGAGACAGGTTAAAGCCCCCGTGCCAAGAGTAGTGCTCAGGCTTTCCCCAAGCAGCATTTTGTGCTGCCTAGGAAAGCAAGCGGGAGAAGAAATCCTCCATGCATGTGATTTTGCTACAGTGAGGCAGCAGGTCCCACTGCTCAGGACAAGAGCCTTGCAAAACGAGCCACTGTGGAGCTGGAGCAGCATCCTGGGACTGCTCAGCCCCAAGCCTGGGTATCATCACCTTTTGTATTTGTAATCATCTCTCCTGGCAGGGGGACAGTAAACTAATCTTTGGGAAGGAATTTTGTCTCACTGGATCCAGGATTAGCTGTTCAGTTTTGGGACCTTCTTTCCCCTTGCCCTGCCTCCCCAAACAGGCTCATCAGTTCAGGAACTCATTTACACTGAGACAGAGTAGCAGGACCTCTCACTGCCAGTCTGCTCAGGCACTGCCACCCCTGTGGTCACCGGAGCAAGGGTCTCTAAAGTTGCCACCAGTCACCCCCCAGGTGATCGATGACTGAGCAGCATTTTCCACTCCTACAGGTCAAGCCAGTTCTATTTTGCATGGAAAACTGAGGAGACTTCAGTGATGCCAAGGGCAGGTTTGGAAAGATGCATATAAAAGAGAACGATGCATTTCTACAGAGACTCACCTTGCACAAGCTGGTGATGGGCCAAGAGGATCCAAATCAAGGACATGAGCTGGAGACAGAAGCTCCTGAGCATGGTCAGTGTGGCCCCACCGAGATGAACACCTACAGAGAGAAAAAGAGCAAGCTCAGCAAAACCCCTTGGCTTGCACCACGGCTTCACTTCACACATCCCTTCCTATCTGATACCTGGGAGTTTTGAGTTGAAACATACAGTTTTGTACAGACTTGTCACCACACTCCTCTCTGTCCTTCTAGACTCCTTCCTCTAAGGCAGTGTTGGAGCACTAAGAATCAAAAAGCCTTTAAAAATGTATGTACAGGAGAACTGAGTGTGCACATTCAATCTTGAGTATGTAGTAGCTCAAGTTGTTACACTACATCTTGGAGCACCTGCCCCTGCTAGCTGCTGTCAAGAGAGCAGAAACCTCCAGAAATACCAGCCCAGTTGTGGAGACCTTCATCTTCCCTCCTTAGATCTGGGAGGCTCCAGCTTCACATTAAATGAGGTCCCTCCAATGCATTTTTGAATGAATAGATGGGCTGAGTCTTTTTTTACAGCACCTAGGCTGCTTTTTGAACCCTGCAGGAGAGCAGGCAGTCGAGTAAGATCTAGCAGATGAGCAGGCAGCCCTCCTCCATTGTCCAAACCAGAGAGTGAAGTGACAAGTACTAGAGCTGGGCTGCAGCCCCAGAGAGGAAAGGCAAACACGCACCTCTCACTAGGTGCAGTCCTTTTCCTCAGCTGTCCTGCAGAGAGCCCCCGTCAGCCCAAGGTTCCTGCACCCATCTATTTTCCGGCTGCCTCCTGCCCTCTCGAAGTAACATTAAATACTTTCCAAAAATGCTTAATTCCCTCCCAGCCTTCTGGAGTTGTTAAGGGCAGGAAATTCGAGGGTGATATCATAAATATATTACTGTAATGAGATGGGAGGGGTTAAACAGTTCTGCTAGGAGAATGGAGAAGGTATGAAGCAGACTCTATCCAGCTGCGTGGGTGTGATGAACGGGGGCCATTCCACTTTCAGCTTGGCTCTTTAGGTTGGAAGGTTGTTCTGGGTCCATAGTTGCATGAAAGACTTCTCAGACGGGGACAGAAGTCCTCCCACCCACCTATACATACACATGCATTGCAGGAAGAGGTTTTGGGGTCCCTGCTAAGAGCTTCACCTGTCTAAACCATAGCTCTCAAAAGCAAGGATGTTGCTCTAAGCATCTCTCCAGCAAACAAACCATCACCTATGAAAGATGCAGCATTTTCAGAGGGGCTACAGAATGTTATTGTCACTGCCCCAGCCAAATCTCAGCACAGATCACTGTGGAACCCACAGTTCCCTTGTCACCATGCTTGCAGGACCCTCCTTTGCCTCCTGCCCCTAAACACTGGGCAGTGGCAAACAGCTGCTGCATTTCAGGGAAGGGTGAAGCAATTCCTATGAAACTTATAAAATAATTTAGGGTTGAAACCAGTATCATGTTCCTTCAGGACTGTGAGGAGCATAGCCTCTGACCACATGTCATTGCAAAGGCAGTTTCCCCATGGCTCCCCACTCGAGGCACAGCCTCTCAGACATCGTGACATAGCCACCCCATCTCCCCCTCGGAGCTGCCCCGGACCCCGGCATCCTGGGGGGCAGCTGGTGCCCAAGAGAGGTGTGAGCAGCTCCCACCGGGCAGGCCTGGCTTTGGGTTGCAAGGACACGGGCAAGGGAGCTCCCCCTGTCCCACTTCTCCGCCTGC